TAGAGAACGTTCACACCTGAACCTGAACATCAGGACGAGACTGAACATCTGAAACCTTTGCAACAGGAGACGCTCAGTGCAACATGACTTGTAACTGATCCTATTGGATGAACGGACTGAACTCTGGAGCCAATCAGAGAACTCGTAGAACGGAGCTGAATGAGCTGCAAGTCAATAAAAACCACAACAAACACATTTCAAGTGTTTGACTTCCTGAATCGGTCCGAAGTGAAAACCTGGAAGTTCCTGTGAAGACGAAGTCTAAGCTAACGACAGATGAAAGAGACGCCGGAGTTCTGGTGGGTTTGAGAAACTTCTGTTTTATTCAGATGTAAAGAAACATGTTGTGGATAAAACGGGACACAAACAAAGAAAACACTCTGATATAAAACCACAGGAGGAGGCGGCGGCGGCGGTGCGTTCAGGGACCGGCGGAGGAACCTCCGTCACAGCAGCCGGCCGCGGCACTCGGTGGAGCCGCAGCAGCACAGCAGCACCTTGCCCTCCACGCTGCCCACCTCGTAGTTGTAGTCCCAGGTGAGCTCGGTGCCGGCCCGGATCCGCCTGCGGGAGCCAATCACAGCGTCAGTGTGTTGCTATGGAAACGGGCCACAGGTGAACAAGGGGCACTGCACGAAAACAGGCACCAAGGGGCGGAGCCCAACCGTTTACTCGAGTACAACTATGAGATACTCGAGTACTAATCGGAGATACTCAAGTACAACACTGAGATATTTGAGTATAACTGAAATACTCAAGTACAACCCTGAGATACTAGAGTACTACTCAGAGATACTCGAGTACAACTGAGATACTCGAGTACTACTCAGAGATACTCGAGTACAACTATGAGATACTCGAGTACTAATCGGAGATACTCAAGTACAACACTGAGATATTTGAGTATAATTGAAATACTCGAGTACAACCCTGAGATACTCGAGTACTACTCAGAGATACTCGAGTACAACTGAGATACTCGAGTACTTTCCTCTGACACGTCAGAGGGAACATCATGAATGTTTTCCTCGATGCAGCTTTGACACAACAACAGATCAACATGTAAACAGGAAGCAACCAGCAGCTGGAGGCTGAAGCCTGTTGTGTCTCCGTGTTGGCGTTTGTGGTCATTTTTTGTGTGTTCTGTGTCGTTCTGACACTGCTTTGTTTTTATGTGGCTGTATTGTGTTTCTCTTGCAGCCATTTTTTTTTTACCTCTTTGTGTATTTTTGTGTCTATGTGTGTTTGTTGTGTCTGTTTGTGTATCTCCAGTGGACTTTTGTGTCTCTTGTGGTCATTTTGTGTGTCTTTGTGGCTGTTTTATGTCCCTTTGTGGTTCCAGGCTGTGTTGGTTTGTGGGTATTTTGTGTCTTTTTGTGTTCATTTTTGGATTTCTGTGTCGTTTCACGGGTGTTTTGTGTCTCTGTGGAGGATGTTTGGGTCTCTTGTGGTCGTTCTGTGTCGGTGTGTGGTTGTCTGGTGTTGGTTTGTGTGTATTTTGTGTCTTTGTGGTTGTTCTGCGTCTACTATCTTATAAAACGCAGCTTCAGACCAGATTCTCCAGCCTGAGCGTCTTCGGCTCTGTGAGACGTTAAAGGGATTTTTCCTCCAAACTTCTGCTTTACGTCACTAAATGCTCCAAAGACTGGACGTCTGGTGACATTAATCCTGAATATGAACCAGCAGCAACCTGCTGAGACACACGGACGCTCTGATAATCTGATCACAGATCAGTCAGAGGAAACGAACCAGGACTCTACTGCAGGCTGCTGCTCTACTCGGCTGTACTGGTGATCCTACTGAAGTAAATCGTGTAAATCGTGCTGCAGTGATCCTGGTGTTTGTGAGAGAAAACGCAAACGAAGAGCAAATGATGAAGGCCTTCAGATAAAAGCAGTCGGTTTCCATCACGTCTCTGCAGCTGGGACTGTTTGCATCAATTAAAACACGATTTTTTTAGTGCAAAAAATTCTGTTTCCCTCCAGTGGCAGCATTAAAACAACACAACAGCGCCACCTTAAGGCTGCGTTCAGCCGGACAGCAGCAAAGAAACAACATTTAAAGAACACGACCTGCAGTTCAGCCGAGTCACAGCCGAGTCTCTCATGTCCTTCCAGAACTCTGTCTTTTTACATCATCTGGTGCAAACAAAAGACATATTGTTGGCCAGTTTGATTCATTGTTTTGGCCTTTGTGCCTTTATCTGACAGTGCAGTGAGAGAGAGAGCCGGGGCAGTGGGGAGAAGAAGAAAAGGGCCATTGGAAGACTCCAGCCCCTGTACCTGGGACGCCAGCTCAACCAGGTGAGCTATAGCTGCGCCCCTTTTGGCCATTTTTTAGGTAAAAAAAAAAAAAAAAGAGGTTTTTATGACGGGCTGCAGGTGGCTCAGTGGTCAGCACCGTGGCCTCACAGCTAGAAGGTCGGTGGTTGGCGTCCCGGTGAGGACACCCGGGATCTTCCTGCGTGGAGTCTCCATGTTCTCCCCGTGCAGCGTGGGTTCTCTCCGGGTTCTCCGGCTTCCTCCCACAGTCCAGAAACATGCTGAGGTTAATTGGTGATTGTAAATTGTCCGTAGGTGTGAATGTGAGTGTGCTTGGTTGTCTGTCTCTAAGTGTAGCCCTGTGATAGACTGGTTACCTGTCCAGGTGAACCTGCCTTCACCCTGAGTCAGCTGGGATAGGCTCCAGTGACCCTGGTGAGGATTAAGCGGTGTGTAGATGATGGATGGATGGTTTTGATGACGTGTTCAGCTTTTAGGCTTAGATTTGGTTCATTCAAGTTCGACCTGTGAGAAGTGAGACGGTTCGTAGCTTCTAGTGTCTGCTCCTGTAGCTGCTGTCGTTCGATCTGTGACAAGCATTAAACCAGTTTTAAAACTCACTTGCTGGCGAAGAAGGCCACCCAGGGGAAGCGTAGGTCGTGCGTGTCCACGAACACGTTCTGGACGAACAGGTTTGGGCTGCAGCTGTGCTGTAACACGAACAGAACACAGGTGGGGTTAAACGAGAGCAGGATGTTTACCAGTGAGCTGAAGCTGCAGTGATCCCTACGTTGAGGTAACGGCCGAGGTTTCCCTCCAGCTTGGCGTCGATGATGTAGCAGGACTCCTCCCCGTCGAAGAACAGCCGGGTGTTCTTGTTGGGCGTGTTGTCTCCGCCTCCCCCGCTCTGGCCCTGCTGGCCCGGCTTGCCTCCCTGACCTCCGGGACCGCCGCTGCCTCCAGACGCTCCGGTCTTCACCATCAGACCGTGGCTGGTCTTCAGGGCGATGCCGCGGGTGGACTTCACCGCTACCTGCTTCTTCATCACACCTGAGGCACCAACAACACGGAGACAGTCAAACCTCATCGTCAGCATCAGCGGGGAGTCAAACCGCCGTCTGGGCTCTCCCGTTACCTGGAGTGACCTTCTCTCGCTCCTTGTTGTCGTCTGACCCGGAGCTGATGGTCTGAACGTCGTCGCTGTCGGAGAGCGTCATCACGTCCTGCTTCTTCCCCGGATCCGACTTCACCTGACTGGAAACAGACACAAACCGACCCAACTCTCAGTGGTACTGTTGATAAAACATGTTTCAAAGCAGGAACAAACCCTAATCATCAACCTGGCTCATTATCTCCAGCGTTATTTTATTAACTGATTATCGGTTAACTAAATGCACTGTTCTGGGTCTGCCTGAACCCACACCTCTACCTGACCAGGTGTACATCTAACAGCCAATCAGCAATGAAGGCTGCTGTTTACAGACAAGCACATTCGCAGAGTGTCTCCATGTGAAGCTGAAGCTGTAATAAACACAGTGAACAAGCCCCTGTGGCTAACACTATCTGGTTCACTGTTGCTAATGCTATCAGGTTTACTGTTGCTAATGCTATCACTTAGAGGTTCACTGTGGCTAACGCTATCAGGTTTA